GCCAGAGATGGAGGCAGAGATGGGGGCATGGAGAGGGGGTGTGGCCGAGGACTCTAGATTCATTAACTAAGAAGAGAAGGACTAAGAACTGGTGGCCAGGAGCAGACTTGCAGAATGTGCCCTTTGGAGTTGTAAATTATTATATATGCCTGAGTGGGTTTTTTTGTTTGTGTGTTTTTCAAAAAGCTAAAGTGGATAGAGAGAAATACTTTTAACTCATGGTATATGGAGGGGATTATAATCATTGTAATGAAACAAGTTATATGAATGGTTGAATGTGAAACTGATGATTTGCCCTGTAAACTTTTACTCAATCCACAATAAAAACCTTAAATTAAAAAAAAAGAATACTGCTCACAAAGTTGGAGAGTTGGTCTGTTCCAAGTGCGTGGGTTAGATGTCAGGCTGGAGGCTTCTGACTCCCATAGTTGCGGGAATGATGACCCAAGATCAGTTCAGACAGCAGGTAGATGGACAGGTCCAGTAGCTAAGAAGGCAGACTGCTGACCACTCCCATATTAGCAGGTAATAGTGCAGGCCACTGGCTCAAGTCCACAGAACCAGAGGCTGGATGATACGCCAGATGCAAGACCAACCCAGTAGGGAGCAATCAAGCCTTGCCTGAGTGTCCATTATACGAGAAGCAGGCCACACACCCAAGGAAGTATCCGTTCAATTGATTGGCTGGTCTTAGCAGACCTCATCATAGAGTTTATGTGTGATACAACTTAATGCAATATAATGCTTACATTATATTAGATTTCATCATGGGGGTTAGCTACAGTTTACTTGTCAAACCACTGACAATCCTGGCTCAGTCAGATTGATACAAAACTGTAGCTATCACAGTGATAATAGTTTGACTACTTGATAAAGGTGATAACTTCTAGATTACACCATGTAAAGGTATATTTTTCCCATTGTACTTAATTATTAATTGCTAATTATCTGTGGAATTTTAAAAATTATCTTTAGCAAAATTTTACTTGGATGTGATACGAATATTTTTATATGAGGATTTCTACATTCCATTGGGTTACCTCTCTTTGGAATGGGCACAAATACAATGTCTTCCAATGAGTTGGCAGTTCCCTGTCAGTGTATGGTTACAGCCGTTTTTGTAGTATCTTTAGCAAAATTTTAAATACATATGATATTATACAATGGTTTCTGCATTTTACTGGGTAATATCTCTTTTGAATAGGCTTAGACACAAATATGGATCCATTCCAGTCCATTGGCCAGACAACTGTAGTCCCAGTTTCTTGGCATAATGAGTGAATATATCCAGTCCTCCATCAGTGTGTTGAAAATTTTCAGTTTGTATTCCTTCAGTTCTTGGAGCCTTGAACCTTCAGTGCACCTTCAATACCATTAACCCTTGATTATATGTTCTTTTGAAATAGTTGAACTTCGACCATTTCTTCTTGGTACAACGAATCTGTGTATTCCTTCCATGTTCTTTCTTGATGCTTTTTGCATCATTTAGTATTCTGCCCAAATTGTTACTGTTGTTGTTAAGTGCCGTCGAGGTGATTCTAACTCCTAGTGATCCTATATAGGGTTTCCCAGGAGCAACTGGTGGGTTTGAACCACCAACCTTGCTGCTCAAACTGAACTTGAGATCCAACGGATTATCCTGCAGTGCCACACCAGGACTCCATAGAACCCTCCAACATTGTGAGTCAAGGCTTGAATTATTTCCTTCAGTTCTTTCAGCTCCAGAAATGCTGAATATATTCTTCCCTTTTGGTTTTCTAACTCCAGGTCTTTGCACATTTCATTATAACATTTGATTAGTCCTCTTGAGCTGCCCTTTGAAATTTTCTATTCAGCTTTTACTTCTTCATTTCTTCTCTTTGCCTTAACATCTCATTGCTGGACAGCAACTATCAGAGTTTCTTCAAAAATCCATTTTGGGTCTCTTCTTTCTTGTCTTCTTAATGACCTTTAGCTTTCTTCTTAAAATGTTCTTAATTTCATCCACAACCCTTATGGTCTTCTGTCATTAGTGTATAATGCATTAAATCTGTTCTTGAGGTGATCTTTAAATTCAGGTGACGAGGATTTTTGTTTTCTTGAGTTGCAACCACTAGAAAGGCTGTGGTCCTTGATCTTTATCAGTATTTTAAATCCTGTTCTCTTTCAGCAAGCAAGGTTGTATCAAATGCATATTGCAGATTGTTAATTAACCTGAATTTGTATAGGAGCAATTGATTCTGTTCCACAATCTGCCCCGGCCTTGTTTTGACTGATGATATGGAGCTTTTCTACCATCTCTTTCCACAGATATAGTCAATTTGATTTCTGTGTACTCTGTATGGTGAGGTCCATGTGTATAGTCATCTTTCATGGGGTCTAAAAAAGGTATTTGTTACGAAGAAGTCACTGGTCTTGCAAAATTCTACATGCCATGTCTAGCATCATTTCTATCACCAAGGCCTTATTTCCCAAGTACTGATCCTTCCTCTTTGTTTCCAACCTTAGCATTCCAATTGCCAGTAATTATCAGTACATCTTGATTGCATGTGTGATCCATTTCAGACTGAAGAAGCTGGGTATCCCTAGGTGGTGCTGTGGGCTAATGCACTAGACAATTATAATATCAATTTGAACTGCAGGGTCAGTGGTTCAAGCTCATCAGCGGCTCCTTGGAAACCCTATATACAGGGTCGCTGTGGGTAGAAACTGATTCGATGGTACTTAACAACGACAACAATAACAATCACCCTAGGAGTCAAATAGATGGAAAACCTATTAAATATTTACTTGATTTGTACAAACAGAAGAATTCTAGGGCAAGTGAATGGCATTCGAACTTGAATCGCCAGAAGAGAAAGTCCTGGCCCTTCACTCAGTTCCCTGACTTGAGCCTTTTTACTCAAAAAGTCCTTTGATGAAGCGGAGGCCGTGTCCACTTGAGGAAGGACCCCTCTAAACTGCCAGAAATGTATACTGTAAGTCTTTCCCCAGCCTTCCTTCCCCAAAGGGGATCTGTGACCTTTAACAAATTCGTTGGAGAAAAGGAAGTAATCAGACTTTTCAGGGTGTGCGGTAGGATAAGCACTGGGACTGCGAACCAGAGTGTCGGTGGTTCAAACCCACTGGCTATTCCTCGGAAACACTATACAGCATCACTGTGAGTTGGAACTGACTCAGTAGCACTGGACAACAACAGAGGTCTGAATTGACACTAATTTCAGGAGACCTCAAATGTTACTTTGGCCCACCAGTCAGAGTGGGGACATATATGGGATTCAAGTTACTAAAGGATTCTTAGCTAAGTTCCATCTCACAGTAGTGATTTCCCAGTTCCAAAATGTGTAGTCACATTAGACATACTCAGCAAGTGGTAGGACCCCCACATTTGATCCCTGATAATGTGGAATAAGGGCTATTATGGTAGGAAAAAAAACCCAAGTGGAATCCATTAAAAATTTCTTTCTGTATCTAGGAAGATAGTAATACTGCACTCCTGAATGGATTGAAGGATGTGAAGGATGTGTGGGCGGTGATTCCTACCAGAACCCCATTTAACTTGCCTATTTTGCCTGTGTAAAAAACAGATGGGTCTTGTAGAATGACAGTGGGTTTTCATTAGCATGTCCAGGTGCTGGCTTCAACTGTAGCAGTTATGCTAGATGTCATTTCATTGCTTGAGCAAATTAATATATTTCCTGGTACCTGGTATGAAGCTATTGATCTGGTCAGTGTCTTTGTCGTAATTCTGGTTTCGAAACATCACCATCAGCTGTGTGGGGTTCTACCAGTTGCTGAGTATGTCTCTGTAGGGTTTCAATATAGCATTAAAATGATAATTTGGTTTTTAAAAATTATTGATAGAACTCCGTGAACCTGTGTCAGGTGATGTGGGAGAAGATGCAGTTATCTCTAAATCTGTTCTGCTTGTGAATCCTGTGGAAATAGAGATTGAAACACCGGAGCAGGCTAAAACCAGAGAAAGAAGGTAAGATTAGGCACTTGTTCATGTTTCTGTCACATAAAGGGGACAACAGCTGCTGCTTAATAAAAACTTGAAAAAACGTATAGGTGGGCAAAGGTGACCATGAGAGTGGTCAGGAATTTTGGTTTTGAGAGCCCTGGTTCACCTTTAGGACTTGAGAAGTCTTGTGTTCTGGCAGGGACAGGAGATAGGGACAGGGACCTCCTATGCATTAGATACCTGCTTTGTGCCAAGGGTTCTGCAATTGTTCATTACCTTATTTCTTTGACCAGTATTAAAATGAGGAGCTACAGACTTAGAGGTTAAGTAAGCCAGTAAGTAGAGGAACCAAGATTTAATTCCATGCCAGTTTGACTCAACTGTTATGCTTTTCTCTCCATCATGGTCTGCAAGACCTGAGGCAGTGCCCCACCATAGTAGGGAGTCCCCATTTCCACCCCAGGCACCCCAGTACATCAGTAGCCTCTGTGGTGCTTGGTATTAGGGGAGTGCAGTAGTTTCATACACTAAGCACTGGACTGCAAAGAAGAAGGTCTGCGGTTCAAACCCGCTAGCCACTATGTGGGAGAAAGGTGAGACATTCTGCTCTTGCGAAGATGTAAAGCCTCAAATCTATACCGGTGTCTGTGAGTTGTAACCAATTTGAAGGCACTTAATCACAGCAACAACAACAACCTACTGTTAATCAGCAGTGGATTCTGCTGTGCAGTGAGCTCATTATTAGGCACAGAGTGGGGCGATACTAAAACTCACTGAATGAGCTTCTTGTTTTCCTTAAGATGCATGGGACACTGCCATGAAGAAATTTTACATTAGAAAAACATACAAATGAGTGTGTGTTAATATGACATGTTGTTAAGTGCTGTCAAGTAGGTTCCGCCTCATACTGACCCTGTATAGGGTTCCTGAGAGCAGCTGGTGGGTTTGAACCGTCAACCTTGCAGTTAGCAGTCCAGTGCTTTATCTACAGTGCCACGGCAGGACTTCTAATGTAATAAAAGTTTTAAGGAGGGAATTAGGTGGCTAGACATTCAGAGAAGACATCTTCAGATGATGGGATTTCTGGGGCATAATTTCAGGAATGATTTGGTGCTTTTTGAAAGAAAGATAGGCTGGGTGGAGAATGTGCTGGAGGTGAGAAGGAACAGGTTGTATGTAGAAAATGGTTAGCTTTCATAATTGCTTGAGTAGTACAGTCTTGCAGGAAAGCAGGGAGAGAGATTCATTCATATGTCATTTTGAGTAAAAGTAATTAAATGGTGGAATGGTGTCTGGTTTCAAGTCTATTCTGTAATTTTTCAAAACACATTGCAGTGAGAAGATAAAGATGGAGTTTGAGACATATCTTCGGAGGATGATGAAACGCTTCAATAAACAGATTCATGAGGACACACACAAGGTCAGGACAAGGGAATCAAGGGCTCGGACCTGTTGCTGTTTGATGAAGCAGGGTAGTGAGGAGTCAGGACTGTAGTCAGTTAAAACTAGGTTTTCTTTCTGGGTCTGCTGCTTACTGTGTGACCTTGAGCAATTCTCTTATTCTCTTTGAGCCTTAGTTTCTTTGTCTGCAAAGCGGGGATAGTAATAGTGTCAACCTCATAGGGTGGCTGTGAGTACGAAACAAAATAATTTATATGAAGCACATGGCATGTATCAGGGGCTAAATAATAAGCACTTTTCTTCCATCCTCGTTTACCTGTCTAATAACATTAGTACTGATCTTGGCTAAAGTCACTGTGGCTTTTGACATCAGGTGGTGATGGTTGAACATGTATTACTGATACATAGCAACGGTATGCTAGGCATTTGGGGATAGACACATGTGTAGAGATTATTTCCTCCCATTAAGGAGTATTGATCTCACCGGTGGAATAAGAAAGACCTTAAAACAGAGAAACCCACGACTATATGCTTAGCACAATGTCAGAGATGCGTATGGGTCTGAGTAGCAGAGGAAGGCTCTATTTAGAAGGAAGACCTAGGAGAGAGAAAGGGTAGCGTGGAGATAAAAGGGGAAGGCAGGAAGTTGGGAAAACTGCTCTTGCCAAATTGTGAAGGGGATAGTGGGATGAACAGCCCACCAGATAATGTGGAGAGAATATATGTTGAGACCATTGAGAAAAGAGAATTTCAATTGGCATTGCCCCTCTTTTTGGGAGCTAGAGAGGGCTGGGATGGATGGCAGAGACATAGTGGTTGTAGCTACCATGACAGCTGAAAGAAGGAAGCTGCTTTGAATCTTGTTGATTTCTTTAAAAGGGAAAGAATCAACTATATAGGTGAAGTGCTAAGTACACTGCAGGGACAGTGATGAGGCTTGAGTGGGTGGATGTGCTTCAAAGTTCTTAGGGATTACACGCGATAGCTATGTTCCTTTCACTTCTTGATGGTGTTGGAGATTCAAGAAAGTGAAGAATTAAGAGAATTCTAAGATTTGCTGATGTAAGCTGTAAGTGGGGTAGGGGTGGGGATGATGGATTTTGCAGGGTAAATGATGGAAAGCTGTGGGAGAGCTAGGAGGAAGACAGGTGGTCATTTCCGGAGGTTGACAAGGAATGGGACTGGAGAGCAGAGGAGGAGGCAGAGCAGCACAGTGAGCCTCCTGCTTCCACCTCTGAGCTGTGATCATTGACTTGCATAGGAGTGCTCTTCTGTGCCAACACTCTCCTTTGCTCCTGATCCTTTTTGAGCAAATTCCAGGTACTTGAACATTTCATCCGTAAGTCTTTCTTGGTGTATCTTAAAGGCAAGGCCTCTTCTTGAATCTTACAGATTTGGTTATTCTTTTAAGGGTAATGACAAGAGAAGGAAATGACTATTAGTATTTTTGCTTTCTTGTATATAGAAGTGAATACAACTATTTCCTGCTCATAAAATGTCTTCTAATATAGCACCAGAAATCTCTGCTGGTTGGAGTCTTCCTTCCTTACCTTCCCGTGTTTTCTTTTCTTCCCACTTCCCAGGTTCATCTTCTGTGTTTGCTAGCAAATGGCTTCTTTCGCAATGGCATCTGCAACCAGCCAGATCTGCGTGCTATTAGCCTCTCTATCATCCCAACCCGCTTTACCAAAGTGCCAGTGAGAGATATGGATGTCTGCTACCTCTCCAACTTGGTGAAATGGTAAGCCTTCACCTGGGCTCCTGAGACCTTAGAGTAGGATTCTTGTTTTTCTCAGAGGTGTGGGTTTCAGTCGTTTTGACATCCATTCCCTGAGGTGGCACTTGGTGCTGGAGAGGGAGGAACATCCGGCATAATCCTTGTCCTGGCAGGACTCCCAGATATATACCAGGTAATTACAGAATCGTGTGATGAGTCCTCCAAAAGGTGTTCTCTGAATTACTACCTGCGGGATTCTGCGAAGTTTCCCCAGGGAGGTGAGGTCTGAGTTGGTCTTCTGTGATAAGTTGACCAGGTAGGGTAGGGAATGTAGAACATAGGCACATGAGTCTCACAGTTCACTCCCCCTTTTGATTTGCTAAGGATCCCTGGTGGCACAGTGGGGTAAGCTAAAGATTGGAGATTAATACCTACCAGCTTCCCCATGTGTTAAAAACAAGATTGTCTGCTACTGTGAAGATTTACAGTATCAGAAACTTCAGAAGCAGTTGTATTATGTTTGACAGGGTCACTATGAGTAGGAATCTGTTACATGGCAGTGGAAATTTGCTTGGTTATGAAAGAACAGAAAGTCCCCTTAGCTCTTGACCTTCTGACAAAATGAAAATGCCTTGTTTCTATCCAGGTTCATTGGAACATTTACAGTTAATGCAGACCTGTCAGCCAGTGAGGAAGATAGTCTACAGACGACATTGGAAAGGAGATTTGCTATTTACTCTGCGCGGGATGATGAAGAATTGGTGCATGTAAGTGATGACTGCTGGCAGCACTATTTTAAATAATAGCTGTTAGCTAGTAATAATGCCAGTTGTGTCAGCTCTCAGTACAGGTGCTTTACGTATATTTCCTCTTCAGTCCTCCTAAAAGTTTTAACAGGTGCTGAGGCTCTGATCAGATAAATAAGGTCATTTGTTCATTTGTTAAGTAGCAGAATCAAAATTAAGACCAGAGTCTTAATTCAGGGTTGAATTTCAGCAATTTTCCTTTCTATTTGGTAGCCTGATGTATTCAAACATTTAATTTTTAATCATATGCCTTAGAGATGTATACAGTTATTATTTTTAAATTGTGTTTAGAAGTCTTGACTAATTTTTATTTTTTTATTTTAAATTGGGTATCTGTTTTGCATCAATTGAGATTCTTTTGTTTGTTTGTTTGTTTGTTTTCATCCTGTTAATCTGGTATAATTTTTCTTATGTTGAACCATCCTTGCATTCCTAGGATAAATCCCTTTAGGAATATTTACAATTCCTTTAATGTGCTGCTAGATTGGTTTGCTGGTATTTTGTTGATTGTTTTTGCATCTGTATTTATAAAGGAGTCCTAGTGTGGCGCTATAGGGTAAGCATTAGTCTGCTAACTACAAGGTCAGCAGTTCAAGCCCACCAGCCGCTCCTTGGAAACCCTATATAGGGTCACCATGAGTCGGAATTAACAACGGCAATACATTCATAGTTTTCTTGCTGTCTCTTTGTGACTTTGGTATCAGGATAATGCACGTCTTACAAAATGAATTAGGAAGTGTTCTCGTTATATATTTTTAGAAAAATTTGTGGATTACTGTTAATTTTTCTTTAAGTGTTTCATTCTTGACATATGGATTTTTATTGTTTTTAAGGTTTATATTGTGGATTGAGTGAAAGTTTATAGAGCAGATCATCAGTTTTACATTTAACAACAACAACACCTTGTTTCATTGCAATGATTATAATCACCTCCATGTACCATCAGTTAATAGTATTTCTTTTATTCACTTTAGCTTTTTTTAAAAAAACACACACTCAGGCATATATCATAATTTCTACCTCAAAGGGCACATTCTGCAGGTCTGCCTCCTGGCCACTGGCTTTTAGTCCCTCTGTTCCCATGAATCGAGAGTCCTCAGCTGCTCCCTCTCTGCATGTCCCATCTCTGCTTCTCTGGATGAGGTCCCGCATTCTTCTTGTGCTCTACTCTCTTGATGGCCTTAGGGTCCTATGTTTCTGGACTGTAAGATTAACCACTCTCCCTGTTTTTGTTACAAAACTTTTACCTGTATAATTGTGAGAGTTGCAATTAGTCATGATAACAAATTATTCACTGTTGAATCATACGACTCTATCCCCATCTCTTTTCCCTAGACCCATCTAGACAAGATGAAAACTATTCAGTGGAGACTCTTTCTGCAACCACCCCCCCACCCCCAACACATACACTCTTAAACTAAACTCTCTCTTGAAACTTTGTAAGCCAGTTGCCTGTTCCTATCTATCCTGTGTACAGAGGGGATAGCATTGGTGTGAAGACTCCTTACCCCTCTGTTGGTATTTAGAGTTAAAAACTCCATGAGTATAGGTCAGGTTCATCAAATAGTAGCAATTTATCCTGTTTCCTTTATCAAAAATTTTCTTTATTTTTTTTTGTAATCTTTGATCTAGTCAAGTTCTGATTATAGCTGGGTCAAATGGGTGCTGTCTGTAAGTTTGGGTGTTCTTGTGCATCCCTTACTTCGGATCAGCTGGATGCTTCACTCTTAGCTCTAGCCCTCTGTGGCTATGTCCTTGTCCATGGGCTCAAGTGTCCCCAGGTCTCACCACACTTTGGACCAACCAGCCCTTATTGTTCTCTCTCTCATCTCCAGGTCAGTGGGAGTCAATGGACTGTGGTTGAACTCAGCTCATTACTTCATTGCTACCTTTCCCCCTCTTCCACTCATCAGTAGACCAATGTGGTCGCCAGCAAGCTTACTTGGCTGTTCAGGTGTTCCCTTTTAGTTATAGTCTTAAAGGGGAGTTTGTCCTGAGGGAATGTGATTGCTTGCCTTGATGGCTTCCAGGTGAACAGCTGTCTTATTTTTGTAGTAGCCAGTCATGCTGACGTTTTTGTTTTGGGTTTTTCCTGAAGCTCTTTCGTTGAAGATGTATCTTGTGTTGCTGTAGCTGTTCCAGGCTGGTCTGCTTGTACTTGCTAGTGGGAATGTCCCACCTGAGCTGGTTCTGGATGGGACTCAGGATTCCTATACTCTGCAAAGACTTTGCAAGAGAACCCCTTTTAGGCATTCCAGTCAGTTATAGACTGAAGACGGGCTTACACGATTTTGTAATCATGTTTCCGAACATTCCTTTCTATCCCACTCAAGTGTCTATTTTATAGTAGTAGTCAAGGGAAACCAGTATTTACAAGACAGTCAAGCATTTTGGTATTATTTTCCCCTCTTCAAGCTATGCCTAGATCCCTGTATCACAGATCCCTGTTGTTCCAAAGTTGAGCATTCATCACTATTTACCTCTGCCCCACATTGGCCATGCAAACCAGTCTCAGTATTCCCCTATCTATTTTGTCCTTCTACCTCTTCCCCGTTCTTGTATTGTCCTCCCCAACACCCGAACTAAATTCTCTACCCCAACCCCACTGTTGTGGTTAACCTCATATTACATTAATTTTCCCCTCCATTTAATACAGTCTATTTTATCCTGTAATCTACCTGACCTTCTCACCACCTGGATCTCTATTCCTCTTTGTTTCCCTTCTTTCACATTGTATTTGTTTTGATCATAGACTGACCTCCCAGAACCTGTGAATTTGTTCTTACAGTTTTGTTCTGTTCTCGACTCTTCCATTTGTCAATTGAGTTCAGGGTGATGCTGCCACATATGTCATTCTCTGGTTGTTGTCTGTTCTTGTTGGTTCTTGGTCCACAGAACTACCTTTAGGATGTTTTTCATAGCAGGGTTGACTTTGGCAAAATCCCTTAGCTTCTGTTTATCATGGAGTGTTATGATTGCACCATTGTATTTAATTGACAGCTTTGCTGGGTAGAGGATTCTAGGTTAGCAGGTTTTTTTTTTTTCCTGTCAGCGTTTTATATATGTCTCCCCATATGCCTTTTTGCCTGCATGGTTTCTGTATGTTACACTTCTCTTTTCCCTAGCTGCTTTCAGGAATCTGTCCTTATCTTTGAATTTGGAGAGTTTCTGTATTATGTGTCTTGGTGGTATCCTTTTAGGATTCATCCTCCTGGGATTCATAGAGCTTCTTGAATGCTTATATTTTCACTTTTCAGGATGTTATGGACATTTTCTTCCAGAAGCTCTTCACCTATCTCCTCTGAGGACTTGTGTGATCCTTTCTGTTCCGGAATGCCGATAATTCTT